TTTTGTACAAACTCTGTTTTCATGTGATTCTAGTCTGGTACTGATATGTAGCCCTGATGGGAGTATAATAGAGAAAGCAGGAATTTCTGTTCAGATCCAGAGATTCTTCTGACCCAGAATGTGTCTCTGATTGTGGGCAATGCCAGATAAATCAAATAAAAATTGAGGGATTTTCACTCATGGGCATGTAAAACAGGTTCACTCCAAATTTTGTCAGAGATTAATTTAATGGTAAGAAATTAACTTTTCCTGTACTGGCCTGTGTCACTGGGGGCCTTCTGGATACCAAGCAGGTGCCTGATCTTGCTTTGCTTCCAGATTAAAAAAAAAACCCAAACAAACCCCCACTTAGTGGAAACCATTCCTTCATTTATCTTTGGGTATGTATGCAAAATAATATTTTTCTGTTCCAAGGTTTCTTTTTAATTATATGTTCGTTGTTCCTACATTATAAGCAGTTCTAAGGACCTCACCTCCCCTTCTCTCTCAAAAAACTCCATTTGTTCTCTTCATATTCTCTTCCTGTAATGAGCTTCCCATCCCTGCCATAATTTCTGTGAGCTGCCTTTACCTGTATTTCAGTCATAGGCTACTTGAACCACAAGTTGCATTTTTCTAAGAATTTAAAGACTGTTTTCAGGTGAAACTTTTTATTTATTTTGGGGCTTTTGGAGGTGTCTTGCCTAGAAGAGCTTCATTTTTCAGTCACCCTTAATTCTTACAGAAATTCATTTATGTTGTAGTCACTATGACTCCTTTGTTAATAACTCCAAAGTAGAAAAGTGGCATGTGAAGGTCAGAAGTCTCAGCAATGTTGAATCAGCCTAGTGAATGCAAATTTATTTGTACTTGCTATCTTATATGAATAAAATTGGATTCACATCAAAGCACATGCCATTACATCCTGTGTCATTAAGGTCTTGTCTACCTTTAAAAATACTAGTCTAAATAACCAAGCAAATACGTATTCTTTGTGAATATATTAGTTAATAAAGGTGATTATTAATGGGAATCTGTTAAATTATCTAAATATCTGTGTGCTTTTTTATGTGAATGTGTATAAACATACAGATGTGTATGTATTAATATAGGTATGTATATGTGTATAATTAGTATACATATTGATGTACTTAGACTTATATGCATATATTAATGCAAAGAAGTTAGAAACCATTGCACTCAATAATTTTAAACAGTGATCAATATCATAAATAAGGAAGTCTTATTCCTCTCTGTGTGTGTGTATGTGTTAATTAGAAATGGCTTTTTCCATTTTCGCATGGTTCAAAATAAAATCAAATATAAACGCTTAATGACTGGGAAGCCTGTCAGTATGTGCCGTGCCACTGATGTAATATCAAAGCAAAACACGTGAAGAGTTGTGGAATTCCCATTTATTTTTCTGTATCTAGAGCATTATGTGATGGTTCTGATGTCTTTGATGACCTTGTGGTTGCGCAAGGTCCGTCCCCCGCAGGAAAGCAAATGCAGAGGATTGATGGACTGAACAACATCAGCCCTTCAAGCAGTGCGCTCTGTCAGTGCCTGCCTGCCTGCTCATTTGCACCTCAAGCGAGATGAAAGTCAGTGTTGTACTAATCAATTTGCTTCTGCATTTGTGCCAGTTTATTCTTAAGGAAGGGTTTGTGCTTTCTCCTATTCTAGCAGAGAGGAGTCTCCTGGGAAGCTCGACATCTCAAAGCAGAGCAAACAGTGCTGGTCTGTTACAGACATGTTTGTGATCTGTGAGCTTCAGCATTTATTTGCATCAAGTTATGATTTGTTTTGTGAATAACCTCACTGACATCAAGGTAACTATTTGCAGAGAAGGGTACACTGTTTAATGTGAGCATGGTTGGCAGAGTCTGACCTGTGGTACTTTGATGCCCTCAACAAAATGCTCCTGTCGTCATGGGAGCTGACACGGTGTCACAAAAAATCACAGCTTGAATCTAGCTTCTCTCTCTTTCCTGGGACGTGGGTGGTTGTTTCTGCAACAGATAAAAAGTTCTCCTGTTGTTTGAAATAAAGATACTCAGGTACTGCAGAAAGATGCTCAAATTAGAACTGTTTTCACTGATTTTTTATATTAAGCCTTAGTCTATACCCTCTTCTCTCACTTCTTGCTGAAAGCAGAGGACGTTGCATCATGAAGTGCTGTCCAAAACTCAGATGGGCAGTGAACAGGTGGTACATTGTTTGTCAGGCTATTTCAGAGCATGGAAACCATTTGTCCAGTTTTAGATTGCTATTGCTAGCAGTGTGTCTTTTAGTTGTGAGAAAGAGAGGAGGTTATTTAAAACCTCTTAGGCGACTCCTGTTTGCCTTTCAGAGCATGCCAAGTGGGATTTAAGAAGGAATGCTTGCAGATCACAGGCAACTTCCCCTGAATCTATTTCATGGAATTCTCATTTATTTCCAATGTGAAACATTGGAAAGAACTTGCACAGCAATTCAATTCAGTGAGACATTCACGGCTATGCTCTGGAATGGGTATTTGGAGTTCAAGCACAGTGAGCAAGAGGGATGAAGAGGTGATTCTGATTTCTTTTATGTACTTCATTTATATAATATCTCCACAGCCTGCTTTGATGTAGTGTGTCCCGGACTCCAGGAGCGTGGAGCTGATGTGTGTTAAAGCTGGTCACCCCTCCAGTGTCTCTGGAGTCAGGGCAAATAAGGCAGAAGTCAGTGATGGGCCCTTAAACACAGAAGCTGCCCTACCAAAATATAGCACAATAAATTTGCCAGTGGATATTTGGTGATACAGAGGTAAACAAGCTGATGGTAATGCCTAGTGGTAACACTGAGTTACCAAGTTACCATTTAAACTTTCTGGAATAAGCTGAATGATGTGATTTTTCCGGCTTCTTCTAATGAAGTATTACATCTGAGATTCCAAAGTGACTGGAGGATATAAGTGGTCAGTGATTTTGGAGAGGAATAGGCCAGGGAAGGAGCTCTTGCTGTGTGTAGGAGCACTTGGACATTCTCAGGAGAACAGAAAGATATTTGACCTCACAAACCTTCAGCTTTCTCTCTTCCCCAGTTCACCTACTGCCACGTGTTGGCTGTACAGGGCTAGACATATATGTCCACATGGGCTCAGGCACTTGTGTGGCCACAGTCCATTTATTCAGCTGCCAATTTGATGGCTGTGCCTACAAAGAGGATGAAGCAAATAGGCAGCTGAGCTGCAGTCTTCCCGTGGTACACATTTCTGCATTTGCTCTAGATCTGGAAAGTGAGGACTTTTCTTGGTGAATTCCTGTTTAAGATTTCAGAATATGTCTTCATCCTATGTTGAGATGCAAACAAATGCTGTCATTTCTTCCATAGCATTTGGTCTTAATTAAGTTCATTAACATGTTTATCTAACCCCTTCACTTAGGAGTCTCTTAGTTGTATGGAACAGAAAAAAAATTCTCAGTTGCTGTTCTGTTTCTAAAGCTCTTGTGGTTTGCCAATAAGATTTTGAAAGTAAGATTTGCAAAGTAAGGTTTGCAAGTAAGATTTCACGACAAACAGCATCCAACCTGCTAAAACATTCAATGATTTTCTTTACTTGTTATCTTTCAACTTTGCAACAGAATCATAGAATGTTAAGGGTTGGAAGGGACCTTAAAGATCATCTAGTCTAAATGCCCCCTAGTCTACAACACCTCCCACTAGAACAGGTTGCATGAGGCTTTTTCTGACTTGAGCACTGCCAGGGTTGGGGCATCCACGATGAGCAATCTGTTCCAGTATCTCACCACCCTCACAGTAAAGAATTTCTTCCTAATATCTAGCCCAAGTTTACCCTCTTTCAGTTTGTACCCATCTTGAAGCTGTAAATTTACGACTTTGGAATACAGGAGATTGCAATAATGACTAAGTACCTGTTGGGCAGAAATATTCCAGATACAGAAGTTGAATTAATTCAGTTTGATGGACGATAATGCTTCTGGCAATGATCAAGGAAGTAATTCAGTCCCCAGCAGAAATGTCTGTGTTTCAATACATCTCAAGCACTAGTATAACAGTATTAGAAGTAGCTGTTGCTGTGCATATATTTTTTCCCCAAAGTCTTTCTGTAGATAAAAGAGATGAAGCAGAGAATGAGTAAAGACTTCTGATTTTAAATAGCTTTCTTTCAAAACATAAGCCTATTTTAGTCTTGTGAATGTACTGCTTAAACTTTGGGAATTGGTGCCTTTGTCTAATTATTAGTGAAGTAAGAGACACACAAAGTGTACTAGCAGGAAACGTGTGCACATTTTTTTATACAGTAGGACATTATAGCAATCTTGTGATTTTTCCTCTTTAATTGGTGTCAGTAAGACATTTGGCAACTTAGGGTGGGGGTTTTGTGCATTTTTGTATGTGCTTGGTTGGATTTTTATTTTTTTTTCCTTCACCTGCAAGACTTGTTTTGGTAGGAAGAGATGACTTATTTTAAAAGAAGTGTCATCAAACTTAGCAAGTGAAATGTATTTTTACGATGATCTTCAATACCAGTGTTAATGCTTGTTTTGGGGTTTAAAAACATAGGTCTGTAATTATATGTGGTGAATGCAGCACTACAGATCCAAGACTATGTTTTACTTGTTCTGAAATAGTGAGATGTCATGTGAGTTAAGATGTAGTATATCAGAAACATTTTTTCATTGTTCACTGCTTGGCTTAATTCAGCAGAGATTTTGGAAAGGTCAGGTATTTCCACCTGTGATCCTGCAGCTGGCACCCACTGTGCAGCATTCCAGAAAGAAAAGAAATATATTGCCTGCCAGATGTAATACTGTGAAGACGAGGAGAAGCTTGGACCTTATCTTAGAATAAATTTCAAATACTAGTGTTCTGGAAAGGATAAAAGAATCACTACAGCTGTGCTTATTGCCAATCTTGAGATTGTATTATTGTGACAACCTTTCAGATGAGGATTTTTTCCGGTTTTTTGAATGCAAAGATATATGGGTTTGAAAAACAGTAAAAAACCCTCTTCTTTTTTTCTTCATTAGATCCTTCAGATGATGAAGCTGTTGAGAAAGCGAGTGATAACAAGACAGCAACACATCAAGATTCAGATTCCAAACCTGCTGTGAAAAAGAAAAGAAAGCAGGTTTGTAAATTTAGTGATTGTTTAGAGCACAAAGATAATAATGCATAGAGAAACAGAAACCTCCTGTTGTTCAGTAAAGGGACAGTTCTCTTCACTCTTTATCTGACCTGTTCATGTAATAAGATTTTTTAAAATTATTTTGCCTTGTTTAGATGCGATCACATTCAAGTACATTTCAATAATAACTTCACTCTTGTTTTGTGTGAGTTGAGGTTGCCAGGCAACAAAGTGTCTGTCTAGTGATAAAAGCCTGGATAGTGCTACCGAGTGTCCTACCCTATAATTTTTTCCTTTTCCCTGCACACGCAAAGTCTAGAAAGCTATATTTATATATTGTACAACTTCTCTGCCCAAGCATGTCCCCTGTGCAAGATTCAAGTGAAGAAGAATTCGGGTCCTACACGGATTGATGTTTTCTTACCCTTGCACTGCTAAAAGCTTCATTTAATCACAGTAGGAACTGTGTTGTTCAGCATTACATGGAGTATGCCAAAGAAGAGGCAGCGTCGAGAAAAAAAATCATCTAGAGGTCAGATGACTTTAAGAAGTTTCTTGTTTGAAGGTAAATCTGTTCTGCCTTCCTGACACCATATGAGAGAATCAACTGAGTGGCTGTCAGAGAGCTAAAATTGCATTGGAAGCTATCTCTCCTTGAGGTTATAGATATTAATTTTGACCTCTAGGTCAGTAGTAAATTCACTACGTAATGCCTAGGCAATTGCCCAAGTGAAAACCATTTGCAGGGGTGTTCTTTTTTTGTAACAGAGAAGTGTAAACAACATGGTAGCAATTACAATACTTTTGGGTGTCTTTCCAAGGAGACCAAAGGTGAAGTGATCCAAATATCTGAACTAGTTCAATGTTTTGATGAGGGAAGAGAACCAAGCAATACAGGAGAAAGCTGTATTGACTTTGTACATGCTCTACCAGGGGATCAAATGCTGAGGACTTCAACTTGGTGACAATTCTTATGGAGCCAGTTTCATCAACATTATTTTCACTTAAGCATTTAGAAGTAAGTTAAGACACTTTGTTTGGGGAAGTTGCTTGACTCTTTTTATAAGAACGTTAGAAAGGAGTAGCCAACACAAGGTACTTGCCAAGGTGTCCTGAGACTGCTCAGCTGTAGCAGAACACCTGCCACAACTCTTTCTGTCATATAAAGAATATCAGTCTGCATTTTGGAATCAGGTAATTTGATGTTTAGACACGGAACTACAAGAGGCAAATGCTTTATGGCAGCTCAAAGTCATGGATGTGTTACTGTCCTTTAGAGCAAAACACTTGCAAAATCAGAGGGATTTACGAAAAGCTAGTAGTTTTGTAGTTATGGTGCGTATAACAAAACCCATTTTACTCATCCATGCCGTATTCACAGGCTGGAAGCTGTTCTACAGTGGACTTGGAACCTTAAAGCCAGTCACGAGACAACCAAATAGGATTATGAACATTTATGTTCCTAGTCTGCAGGCTGTCCTCAGGCTTACAATGAAATGAATAATTTGTCTCCACTCTGAATGACACATTGATGTGTTTACTTTGTTTCAAGCTCCAAAAGTCAGAGTATAGGTCTGACTTAGAATGTAAACTTTCACACGCGTGCAAGAATGTTTTCACTCTACATTTGAATTTCCAGTACCTTTGGCAACATGTAAAGAAAAAAATATGTTAGAAACATAATACAGGAAATATTTTATGTTCTGTCTGGGATTAACAAACAAGGAATTTATGACATTTTAGTTCATAAATCAGTGGTCTCGGCACAAATTTCCTGTTTTCTGCATTTTAAGAATTTCCATGTAAAAATAGCATAAAAACACAGAGCACAAGGGAACCATGTCAAGAAGCAGTTGGTTGTCTGCTCTGTGTCTTGCATAAGAAAAGTATGCAAATGACCTTTTCTTAAGGGTGGCATGCAGAGAACTATTTCATGAGTAGGTAGGCAGTGAACATTTGGATAAGGGTCAGAAGTTCAGTCTAAATCAGATACTGAAGTACTTTAAACTGCAGATCATCAAAGATGTGTAAGTTTACAGCCATTTACAACCATGAAGTTTATGTTTTTCTTATGGCATGATTTTTAATGTCTGAATAAAGAGGAGTTGTTATTATTGCTGGACTAATAATATACTATGTCTAAATATATATATTCAGTGTAAAGGAGGTAATTTTGAATCTTAACATGCTTCTCTAAGGAAGCAAGGCTTTGACTACAAGCCTGCTTTGTACTTGTATTGTCTACTGTGTGCTTCTGTTGCTGTTGAAAGGAAGGGTTACATACTGCCTTCAAAAAAGAAGCCATGGTATTTGGTGATACTTTTAAACATCTGAATGAAGGGTTAGCAGTGAGAAGATTTTCTTGTAGAGAAAATTTTTCAGTTCTGTTGCAGGTTTCATTCTTTTCTCATGCAGATACTAGCTGGGAGTGCTTTGCAGAGTTACATACATCAGATCACAATGTGTGTGAAGAGACAAATGGGCCCAGAGTGAATGAGTGACATTTTTCAATATGCTGGAAGAATGATAGCACTACTAGGATAGGGAACCATCACACTTAGCCGGAGGACAGAGATTCAGGTTGGCTCCTTTCTGAGTTTTTGGTTGATCGTTAGTATCCCTTGACTAAATCAATCCAAAGACTTGTTCTCTGCATAAAATATGATGTTGAAAATAGAATTTATTATTAAAACACCTGGCAAATGGTCTTTGAGTACCTATGGACAGCTGGGATGCGTAAGGGTAGAGGAAAGGGTAGCTCTGTTTCAGTCTCAATGTCTGGGAATGCTAATGGTAGGGATAGGAATGAAGAAACATATGATGGTGTTTTAAAAGCACTTGAATCAGAGTCAGGATAGAGATTTTTAGAATAGAAACAAACCAAAAATAAACCACAAACGCTTATGTTAACCCTGGAACAAGTTTGTTAGTTGAAGTGAATTTCTTCTTGCAGTCATTCCCTTGATTTCTGGTGAAGATAGAGAAGATCACAGTGACAGATCTCTGTTGCTGGGGCAAGATATGGTCCCTATCCCACCTTCTCCTGGGTATTGATCTGGGCTGTGCTACATTCCAGTCCTGGTTGTAGAGTGTTTTGCTGGCTGTAGTCAGTCCCCAGCCAGATCTTCTCTGGTAGTTCTGAAGTTTCATTTCATTCCTCAACCAGTTGCAGGGTCATTCCTGTACAATACTACAGCCTTTGCAAGTGCAACGAGTCTCGTAGCCTCATGGCACAGAAAGCAGGAGCAAGCAATAGGACATTCGTTTGTGTTGAGCATGGTGGTTACCTCTTTTTATAGCTAACTTAGGGGAGTTAGGAGAAAAAGGGTACAGTAGGCATACTATGAACAATTAGTCTTCAAAACATGCTTCTGATAAGGATATGAGAGTGGGCTTGGAAAGGCACAAATGTGCTGGGTAGGGTCATGCAGTACCAGTTGTTGTGAAGTGTCCTCCTGTTAAAGAGGGCCCAGAAAGGCCCAAATACTCTGGCCCTCTTGGCCTGCTTGAAGCAGCCCTTTAACAATGGAACAAATGAACATCTTCTCTGGCTTTCAGCTAGGCTCCCTATGCTGCTGATATTTTTCTTGCAGGCTTTCCCCAGGGAATAGCACTGGATTTGCTGTTCCTAAGCTTTTTAATGCTTTGTGTGATGAGTCTTCTCTACATTTTCTCACAAGAGCAGATTTTTCCAGCCAAATGCATCCTAATATCAAGGAGCTTTTTCCTGCAGCTCAGCCTGTTTTCCCATTACTCTTCATCAAGTCACTTATTAAGCTTTAAAGCCCCTCTGTGTAGATTAATTTGCATTTCCATGAGGTGAAAGTCCCCAAGAAGGCAAAAGAGAATTGCTGTGCTCAAAACAAGGAAAGCCTTTGCTTCCTCTGTTTTGGACAATTTTAGGTGGATGAGGACAAATCCTATCCCTGGATCATGTGAACAGTGATTCTGGTACAAATGGACCAATTCAGCCTGTTTACTCAGGCACAAAAGAGGGTTAGTGATAGCAGCATGTGTTGAACTATTCTGAAATGCAGCATGTATTTTTCTTGTGTGCATCTGACCCTGCCTGCTATGAGGAGACAAAGCAAGAGTGGGGTAGGACAAATTCGAAACACATTTTCCCAAATTTTACATTACAAGTGTAAAAGGAAATCCAGAGCATGATCGTTTCCAATTAATCTCACCCAGTTCCATCTTTTACCATCTGGATGCTCACCTTAGACCCAGCTATTTTAGAACACTACTGGCAAAGTTTAGAAAAACTCACACACACAATAATAGAGCTTAAAAATATAAAGTTTGTGATGGGTTTTGTTCATGTTTTCCTCATGCTGTTTTTTTCCAAAGTATCAAAACCTGCTTTTTACCACTTTATGGAATTACAACTATACCTTGAATATTTCAACTTTCTGTTCTCTTACTCCCCTCTTGGTTACAACAGCGATCTCAATTCCAAAATTACTTCCTATACATGTAACTGTAAGAATTTGATCCCTTCTACAGGTGGAGAAGTTTGGTTTTATTTGTTTTTCCCTAACCCAATATTATGGTTTCTGTATCCCCTCTTACCTCCCTTTGGTGACTTTTTTTTCTTTTTTTCTTTTTTTTAATGTGCTTTGCAGCCTACGGAGTGTTTTCTAAGTCAGCCTGAAGAAAAACAAGAGACCACTGTAAAGGCAAAGAGGAGAAAGAAGGTATGAATGTCCTAGAGTGTGTTTGGGGACTGGGCAGTGGGTGTATGTACTACAAGATTCATAATTGAGACAACCCCATAATGATGAGAAGTAATATGGTCATAATGTTGCATCTTCTTTTAGAGGAGAATAGAAATTCCTAATTTTTAGACCTCGCTCAAAATACCTATTCCCAACCTAAACTTTGGCATTGTGTCTACACTCCACTCAAGGGTTGTACATGCCTGCACCCCACTTGCAAGGGTTGGCACACCAGGAAAGTATGACTGTGTCAAAGGAAGGTGAAATTTCAGTTGCTGTAGAATCTGACCCCATTCCAGCTGCTGTTACGTCCTTTGAGCCAAAAGCTGCCCTTGTTCGTTCTTCTCCTCATAACATAAGTATATAAATAGATACTCTGTATTGTCCCTCTGGCCATGCTCCATCCTCACCCATGACATCCAACACACTCTGCAACCTAAATGGTGATTATATGGCACCAGGCAAGTTAATTGTCTTTTAGGACAGACTGTAAATAGTTGGCTCCCTCACAAGGCGGAGAGGTGGCCTTTTTGTGTTATGTCAGGCCTCTTAATCATCTAGAGAATGGGAAGAGGGAAGAGTGGGATTTTGTTTTAAATGCGGCTCTGGCAGAAGTGACCGTGGTACTTACTGCACTGCTGCTGGAGCAAGGGCATCCCATGGCAGAAGCTGGTGAACTGACTGAACAAAGAGACCCCCTTCTCAGGCAAACAACAGGCACTTAGTTACACCTTTGGTTTCAGTGGGGCCAGGCCACTAAGTTGACGTAGACAACCAGTCAAAAAATCCCATTAGGAAACATTTATTAGGTTGATCTATGGGTTCCAAACAAAATACTCTCTCCAAAAATAAGGAAGATGCTTTTAAGCATCTGGAATGAATTGGAAGAAAAATAATAGAACTATCTGCATAAGGAACATTTCCCCACAGCTCTTCTTGAAGAAAGAGAGTTTGCTTGGGTGTCCTTGCTCTTGCTCTTACAGAATTTCTCATTAGTATCAGGCTTCTCACCTCCAGAGGGTCGTAAGTTTCCTGAAGGAGCCAAGTGGCCCAATGAATGATGTAATGGTCCTGTGGAACAGCATCTTACACTGAATTACCAAGTAAAATGAGCCTGATAGTTCTATCTTACTGCCTGCAAGAGGTTCACAAATGTGGGTCACTTAAGAGGCATGTTGTGGGACAGGGGATGGAGAAAAGCATTTGTGGTTGATAGGAGGAACAACAAAGAGGTTTGGTTGTGGGCCTCCCGCAGAGGCTGTCTGTGCTGCAGATGGCCTCTGGTCATTCTTTGGGAAGACCGCTGTTGCATGGCAGAAAAATACAACACTGATAAAGGAAGGTGAATCTTGGGAAGGAATGCTACAGATTCAAGCACTGCAGAAACCTGCTGAACAACCAGACATCCTCTGGAAAGTCTTCCAGGGACTGCAGGGGGCTTTGCACCAGGACAAAGGTAGACTGAGAGGAAGGCATAAGCACTTCATCTCTGTTTGTCCCACCGTCAAAGGTTCACTTGGGGTCTTGCAAACACACAGGTGGCTTTTAGCAGAGGTGAAAGCAGTGGCCAAAGTGGCAGATGGCTGGAAGAGGCAGCTGCTTATTTTGCTTTTGCTGCTTCAGCTGCCCCCATATGGACCTTCCCTGTTCAGCCTTCTACCCCTTATGCTGCCGTTATGGGAGCATTTGGAGTGTATTGGGAAAGAAGGGGAGACAGTGGTAGGGAATGGAAAAGAGGAGTGAGTGGGTGCTGAGATGGAATGAGGGAAAGAGGGATCACAGAAGGTCTGTCCCCTATGTTAAAGTTCCTGCCATAGCTCTCTTCAAAATGTCCATTGATCTTTGCCGCCCCAGACCTTAGCCTGCCAAACTGAAGGTACCCACCATCCCTCCAAAGCTGCCACAAATTTTTCCAGGTCCAGCACATCTCTGTGAAGTCTCACTTTGCCTCACAAATAAATACCCTATTGCTCCATCCTACCCACACTCTTCTGCTCCTTTTCACTTCTGGGCTTATGCTGCCACATGTCCTCATGATGGCAAGTTCAGTTTTGCTTACACAGCTGAGAAACCTTGAGCTGGCCTTTCAAAAATTAATCACATCTCAGCAAGAACAAGAGAGGCTTCACATTCTTGTCATTCTCTCCAGGTTGTCCTTGAAACTTTGCTGTTTTCTTACATGCTGACTGATCATTCAGATAACAGGAACCTTGGGCTATTCTACCCCCATGATCCATTTAACTATGGGAGAAGATACAGCAACACTTTCACTTTAGTGGTAATTCAAGACCTGTTATTTGCTAACATTCCTAAGGTGTAAAACGCAATCATTATGAACTCATATCCAGGTTCTAGAAATTATTAACTTGATTTAAAAATTATACAATTTGGAATAACAAAGTAGCTGATGAACTCTTTCTACTTAACTTCTGGTTTTTTTGTTAGCTTTTGAATCATTTTCATCAGCCTGGCATGGTATTCTGTGAGTAAAGCTAATAAGTCCTTCCAAAACAAATAGATAGTTACTCTATTTTAATCAAAATATGACCAAATCTTATATAGTCATCTGATTCCTGTTGTTACACTTTAAGAATAATAAACTAAATGAATTATGAAAAAAATAATTCAAACTGATGCTTAAAGGTAGTAATAGCAAAACTCAAAAAAACAGCTTTCAATTATATTTTTGTTACACTGATATTTCAGGTGAGTTCACAAGACTTTTTGCGTACAGGCTCCCAGACCATCTCATCAAAGTATCTCAAGTATCTGCATTCCCACTAAAGACAAAGGGAATCTTTTCCCATTATATAAGGTGTTTTTCCACTTAAGCTGTAATTAAACAAATACAACTGTATGAATTATGGAGGAACATTTATTTATGATGTTGTTAGCTAGCCAAAGAGCAGCAGAAAATATAAAAATACCATACTTAACCCATTTTACTTGTCTTTTTAGAAGAAAATTTCTGATATTCTGCAAAAAACTGCTTCAAAACCTGGTGTCCCTGCAGATCTACAAAATCTGCTCAGTCAACATTTTGGTGAAAACCGTTCAGTGATTGAAATAGAGGAATTAAAGCTCTCAGGTAACTTATCCTGTATTTAATATATAAATAATGGGTTTTTCATTATGCTGTTGAGTTCTTTTTGTGCAGAAGAAAAGTGATTTTTGGGATAGGTCTTGAGTTGTACTTTTAATGGAAATATTTTCTTACATTATATATTAATTTGATGTTTAAGTTGAGATGTCAGTTTCTTTGGAATAAATGTGAGGTTTCTTGGAGTTACAGAAATGAAACGTTGTTTAAATGTGTCCTTTTATTGTAAAGTATTAATTTCTGGAGCTCACTTTCTAGTAGAAATTATATGATTCCTAATAGTAGCTTCCAAGATGCTTAGAGAGTGGAACTGTATTTTGTTTCTGAGATTATCTGGGTCAATCCAGATGCATAATAGGAGGGCTGACAGGAGTAAACCAAGAAATAATGCGACATCATTCTGACATGGTTATGAGATGTTTAACACAATGGTTTTTCAAGGAATGGCATGAATTGAGATGGTAATTTTGGTCCACATTGGAAGTGACCAAGTTTTAATCATGATAAGGACCCTCTTTGTCCCCTGTATTCTGCCTCCAGTTAGAAGCCAGTGATAGAAAAGGCAAAAAGCAGGACAGAGCAGGATTAGCTTTTGTCTGTTGGAGGTTGCATTAGAGATGATGGCAACACTGAACTTCTCTGCCTCTTACTGTGCAGATAGAGACACTGTCCAGTATTTTTTCACAGTGCTTATGAGGAGCAAACAGCCTGCTAACTAACCTGCATTCACCTTTTGTACTTCTTGAACTGTTAGAGACCTTTGCCAAATATAGAAGCTGTCTAGACCAGCAGTACTTTTTCTCTTTTAATGCATAAGCCTGTCTTTCTAGATAAATATGCTCTTCCTTATCACCCATTTTTCTAGGTTGACCCTCCTTTATTTCTGTGGGGCAGGTTCAGCTTTCTTGTTGAATCAAGAAAACTTGGAGAAGTCCCATACAGATTGCTTTGAAAAGCTTGTGTTAAGTACTTTTGGTCCTATAAGGTTTTTAGGAAATAATAAATTACTTTGATTTCTTTCTTATTAGAAGAGCCCTTTGGGCTAGTGAAGTGACCCATTTCCATATGGATTGGATCTTGGGTTGGATGGAGATATTTTTTCTTAATATTTATGCTGGGCCTTGAAAGCTTAGAGTGCCAAGGAGTTTATGAACTTGTACAGTTGTCAAGTCGTTCACGTCAGAGCACTAAGCAAATAACAAGCAACTATTTTGGAGTTGTGTGTTCCTGTTAACTGACAAACTGCAGGCCAGGTTTGTAGTCAGCATGGGCTCTTGCTGCAGTCTGGAGCTATCTGTTTCTTACCCCATTTCTGAAACTTTCATTTAAAATTGTTGTACATACTCCAGTGTTGCTGGACTGTTGGTGAGAAGTCAGGGACTGAAGCTTTGTCCTTCAAAACCGTCTCTTGAATTGTTCAGTCATTAATGAGACAATGTATTAAGAAAGGCAGCCCCTGTCTTTCCCCATCAGCATCAAGTGCATCTTTTAAACATGATTTTTAAAGTAAATCAGCTGCTGATCCCTCAGTTGTACACATTCATTTCCTTTGGAGCTCAAGTCCCAGTAAATGTCAATCTCTGGATTTAATAGGGATCAATGCAAAATAAAAGTTTTTAGCAAGACAACACCCATTAAATGAAAGCTATAATAATGGAGAGTGGCTGTCCTCAAGAAAGTGCACAGACCGGACTTCAGCCAGGCATTAGCTACAAACCACATTTGTCACACTCTCTGTTCCAGTGAAAACCATGGATTGATGCTGTCAGCATCTGCACAATGCACCATCCCTGTGAACATGAATAACATCTTTAAGAAACCTTTCTAATTCAGTTAAAATATGTCAACAAACATCCATAGACAGACACCCTGATGTGCTGTGCTTCATGATGACAAATATGTAGGTCCTTAAAGACAGAATTGTTAATATTCTGCAGGAGCATGTTGTTCCATCAGGCAAAGAACCCTTTACATCAGTAGCAAGTTTTCAGACCATCAAATTTTAATCACCTTCTTAAGAACTTAGGCTGTCTATATAAACAGAAAGGACCTTCCAAAGAACCTGTTATGATCTTGTCTTTCTTCATTGCCTTTATATGAAGCTTGAAGTTAAAAGGGCATGTCTGCCACAGAGTGCTTTTAAAAGACTTACTAGTTAACGTAGTGACCAGGGAAGAGAAAGTCAGTAGGAAATGAAGGAAGACAAAGGCATTAAATTCAGTGTAGGTGTTGCCATCAGGGTCAATATAATTAGGTAGATTACCACGATGTGAAAGGCCAGAAAGTGGAATAAACTTACTGACAGGTAGATTATTGGTAGGTTCTTGCATTTACACAGTATGAGTTGTCTGGGGGACGTACAAGCGTATTTCGTTGTAGGTGCATTGGAGGAACAGTCCAGCACTGTAAGCCTTTTGGCTAAGACTTTTGTTTCATTGTGGCAAAGACATATAAAAAAATATTTTCAGGTATGTGATCACACCTGTGCAGCCCTGTATTCTTGGTTTCATAGTGGGAGAAAAGAAAGGAATTACAGTTGAGTTGAGAGATTTTACCTTCATGGATTTAGCCAAGATGAAATTTCAACAAGAAGTGTACATTAATTTTTGTTTCAGAAATGGTAATTTATTGATGATGGATTTTACACAGTTGGGTTTTAATCAGTATAACTAGTGGTTATGCTGCAAACATATCTTCTCCCTTTGCTGTTAAAATGCATCAACAAAAATATTTTTTCCTTTATGTTTTCAGATTCCTGTTTTTTGCCATCCAATGATCTCACGCACAGTTTTTCTTCATACCTGAAGGAAAGTGAGTTAAAATGTTATCTGGGTGAGACAAAAGTTGTATGAAAAATATTATTAAGGCAATATTATGGCATTTTTTATCTGTAGCTCCAAATATCGTTTATTATGAAATATTAATCACTTTAAGTGGTTTTTCATATTTTTTTATAACAAGTCTTGTTTTTCTGTCTCTTTTACTCTATCTTTTTTTTTTGTATCAGAATGTTCTGGTTTTTTTTTCATTGCTAGGGATTATTTGTCAGTAATTTATTGTGGCTTCTTAAGTAGGTGTGTGTATTGTCTGACAGTAAAAATCCTGCAGCTGTCTGCTGACATGAACCAAGAGAATTTTTATTCTCTTTTATAGTTATATAGAACTTCTTGTCTGGTAAATGTTTCTTTTCAGTTGGTTTTCTCTAATACAAATTGCCATATGTGGCAAATGAAGGCACATTTGCCTGTCACCTTACAAACTATTGATTATTAAAGCTTATCTAATTTGTTCAGTTATGTGATATTTCTGTATTTTATTTATTTTGGGCATTTCTTTCTCCAGTTTCTCAGCCGTGACTAAATGTAGAAGTGTTGCCAAAGATCCAGACCTCATAGGAGTCAGCATGTGTGTTCTTGCTGCTGGCTACCGTTCATCATGTACTCCAGTAATTTAAAATTGTGGCATGTAGTACTTTCTCTGTGTGTTCAAGGGCTTTTTCATTGCAGTCTGTCCTAAGTGGGCAAAACTCCGTAGAAACCACAAGGAGAAGAAGTCAGTGGTGATGCTGGTTATCTGCAGTTCTGCCCTTCGCTCCTTGGAACTCATCAAGTATGTCGATAGCAAATGTTGTGTTGAGGTTGGCAGTCAGTCAGAGGTTTTGTCTTGGAACCACAGACATAAAGGCAAAACTGGGACACTGTCCTCTGCTAGCCAGTAAATTCACTGACTCACACTGATGCAATATCCCTTCCTTCTTTAGACTCTGGGAGTGTGGTATTCGGTTTAGACTAAAGTAACACTCAGTACTTCAGTTGCCTGGAAATGTTACTTTTGTTAAAAAGCAAAAATAAAGTGTAACCAAGTTGAGGGAGACATGCAACATGTTATACTTGGGAACAGAGTAAATACAAAAAGCATCAAGATCCAACACTAGGAACCATGACTTTGCATCAAAGGCAGTGAGGGCATGGCATTCCAGGGCCTCAAGTGCCAGTGTGGCTTGAGAGCCTCCAGGTCTGTATCAGTGTTCTCAGCTGGCTCTGGGTGGGAAAACTGCTGTGCAGTGGTGACAGTTTTCAGTGTTCCCTGTCCTCTTCTCTTTTCTCTTCTCTTTTCTCCTCTTCTCTTTTCTCCTCTTCTCTTTTCTCCTCTTTTCTTTTCTCCTCTTTTCTCCTCCCCTCCCCTCCTCTCCCCTCCCCTCCTCTCCTCTCCCCTCCCCTCCGAACCTCTCCTCTCCAAACCTCTCCAAACCTCTCCGAACCGAACCTCTCCGAACCTCTCCGAACCGAACCTCTCCGAACCGAACCTCTCCGAACCTCTCCTCTCCGAACCTCTCCTCTCCGAACCTCTCCAAACCTCTCTGAACCTCTCCTCTCCTCTTCTCTTCTCTTCCTCTCCGACCCTCTCCAACCCTCTCCTCTCTGACCCTCTCTTCTCTCTCTCCTCCTCCTTCTCACTCCAGAAATCGTAATGACTGATTGTCATACGTAATGAATTAATGTATACGTCACAAATTTCATGTTTGTCTTCTGTGTCTTAACCACATTTCCTGTGATTACTTGTCAGTGCCAAATGAGATGCAGAGCTGGAAAGTTTAACTCCATGACACAGACAGAAGCATAGATAAGGCAGATGTGCCAGTAGTGCTTAGCCCCTGCATGCAGAAAGTAGCATCTGAGGCTTAGGTGGTTTATATGTATACTTGTATATACAAACCTTTAGCTGTGCAAATTGAAAATTCAGCACACTGAATAAAACATGCAGACAAAGCTGTCTTAAGCGGCATTCAGCAAATATTGAATATGTTGTCTCCTGCTTGATTAATACATAACATAGCATTGTTCCTGTGTGCCAAAGCAAAACGTCAGAAAAATACATCAGAGTTTCCAACAAATGAGTTTTGGTTAACTAGAATTTGGGCAATCTCTGCAGTAAAGACTGTGGCTGCAGGAAGACTATAAAATGTAGGTTGATCCATTCCTTTTGTGCACACACACATTCGTGCCTGTATCTCAGTCACTGAGTTATTTTTTAGTTAGGATTTGGTGATTAATCAGCTTTGAACTAAGTTAGCTTTGAAAGCATAGACCATAATTATCAAATATTATCTGAAAAGCTGTCTAAACAATATTGCCCCCTACTGATATCTTCTACTGTGTCTGTCCAGTTGTGGATCCTGTTGATAAGTAGCAAACAAGAATGTACATAGTGTTCAGAGTACAAGTGGGGTTCACTGGGGGACTGTGTGTCTCAAGCATATTGAGAAATGCCAGTTAGTTTTGCTTTCTTCATGTGTGGTCTTAATCCCAGCCCTGATTCATGCGTTTCATTGTTCATTTTTTTTATTGCTAGGTCAATGACAGCATTCAAAGGAGACTGCAGAGTCCTCAAGTTGTTTGCAAAGCACATAAAGGTAGGGAATTTTAACAGAGCAAATAAACAACTAAATAATGTCATACCATTTTCTTTTAAAGTCATTTGACTGTAGTGCCTTTCATATAGTGTTCATATAAAGTTCCTTCCTTTAGATAAAGCTTCCTTTGGTAACCCATTGCTGCAGTGTGAGGAATCCAGCCAAACAGCATCTCCAGTAACTCTGGTGCGGCTCTTGGCAGAATGTAGATGCTTCTGCATGTGCTATGTTTTAAAGATGTTCCACATCCCCATGAAGTGTTCATTCAAGTGCCTTTTGGCTGTTGAAATAGAAGGCTGCACACATAGGTCCGTGGAAGCAAACTGTACCAGCACCCACATTTGGATTCTGGCAATTGAATGCCTGAATTCCTCATATCCATACCTGTCAGAAAGCACAAGTAATGGGGATACTGGAAGTAATAAGCAAACACTTGGCCTTAGATATGAACGCTGTCAAACCCACAAATGTCACTTGCTTTATTTCACCTTTTTCCAGTATCTTTATCTTGAAGGACTTCAGAGTTAATTCAAGTTTGTCAGTTTTCCAGAGAATTTGTTTAAAAGCTGAAGGAATCTTACTGTTCTCACCTCCAAAAATAGTTTGTGCAATAGCAGATTTTCAAAGTTGAAAATGATTGAACTTCTAGAGAAGTGTGATGCCCAGCTGGCTTGTTATATTTCTTTAACTTTCTTCCAGATCTGACAGTTTGAAAGACAGATAGGATTTGTTACTTGGTGGTATTCTAGAAAGAGATACTATGAGATCTTGTATTTATTTCCAACTCTTTGAAAAGAAATTTTAAAACAATTGTGGGTTTACTCTGTTTTTTTCTTTCTCTCTTCAATTTAGATAAAGGAACAGATGAATATGTTGGAGAAAGGTGTGTTCCACATTGGGGTTGGAACTCCTGGGAGAGTAAAAGCGCTAGTGGAGCAAGGTAGGAGAACAAGGAGGGTTTTCTCCCTAGGTATCTCATATTTGGTCTCATGTGAAGTGAGACTTCAATTGTTTTTGAAGTGCTTAAGTTGACATGCATCTGCTGATTTGGTTACTAAACTGTACAGTTCTGTTTTTCTACTTGTACTGTGTCAGTCAAAATAAGGTCAAGATTCTAGTGGTTGGTTTTACGATCACTCTAAGCTGGCATAAGTCAGTATTAGCAGAGAAAGGCAGAGTAATACTTCCTCACTCCTGCTGATCAGTGCTCACTTATTCCCCCTTCCTGCTTCATGTGCCAGCCCAAGACGCTGTTTGGCAGCTCACAGTGAACTGACCCCAATTAAAACAAAACCAGTGTGCACACAAAATCAGGTAATGAGCAGGCAGAGGTGGGGGACTTCCTCTTTTGGTGGGAATACTGATTTATGCTGACTTGAAAGTGATTGCAAAACCACAGTGTAAGACTTAAAGCTCGAGGAAACCAAACACTGCAAGTGAATCAAAAAGAAATAATGGCAGAAGTCACTGTATCATATGTCACTCTGATCTTAGTGTAAACTTTTGTGAGGGATGAATGAAAGATCTGCTTGCTGATTTGATCCTGTTTCTGATTTAGCTGTAAGAAAATTAATTATTCTATATAAATCTCCTTTTCTCTTTCCAAATTTTGAGTACTTTTACCTACTCAATAGAGAGTTATATACAAAGAAAAACAAACAACAAAATGACAAGATGACAAGGCAATTCTTTCCATTCCTTTTTCTAAACACTGCCTTGCTCTGACTGTGGTCTCTTAGTTAGGGACTGGCTGTGAATTGGGACTCTACTGCCCCTTCCAAAAGAGTACAGGAGTAACATAGTTTTGTTGCTTCTTTTGTCATCCACCAACATTAAATTGTTAGTGCTCAGCATGTCAGCACATTGCCGTGAGGGTGGTGAGGCACTGGAACAAGTTGCCCAGAGAAGTTGTGGATGCCTCGTCCCTGGAAGTGTTCAAGGCCAGGTTGGATGGGGCTTTGAGCAACCTGGTCTAGTGGAAGGTGTCCCTGCCCATGGCAGGAGGTTTGGAACTAGATGATCTTTAAGGTTCCTTCCAACCCAAACCATTCTGATTCTCTGTTAGGTAGAGGCAATTTATGGCATGGACACAAGATGTGTCATCATATCCTAAGGTCTAGTTCTTTTTTGACACTTTAGTGCTGCAGTACCAGGTCACTTAGAAAATGGAGAGGAATCAAAACTGTAGGAAAAAAATGGTGGGCATCTTGTAGAAGACCAGGGAAAAAATAGGAGAACAGGTGAAAGGCAAGTTCAGAAGGGCCTTTTTTTTTTTTCACCACTATTTATTTGAAGGATAAAGGGATTCTTCAGCAGCACCGCTGACCTGACTCACTTTCACACGGCACCCAGTCCTGTAAATTGCTGCACACCATCAGTTCCCATTAATGTGAATTTTCAGACTAGGGTCTTTGTAACTTACCAGTTACAACATCAGCTGTGGAAATTCAACTCCTGCGGTTTCATCAAGAGGAAGCTTGAGGAATTATTTTCTGGCAGGATGTTAAGCTCTTGACAAGCCTGGCAACAGTAGTTGTTCTGCTTTTGTGTTTATCTTCCAAAAAGGCATGGGATTATGTGGCTAAGGGAGTTTGCAGTGTCAGTGGATTAGTTTTCCAACCAGCAAATGTAGTACTTAAATGTTCAAAGATTAGATTCCTTGGAAACAGACAGCAGAAGATATAAAAGCCAAAAATCATTTTGATAAGCACGTCATAGTATCTTGGTAGTAAAATTTATGTTGCCTTTTTAGATGGCCTATGCTTGAACTCCACCAAATATATGATTCTGGATTGGAACTGGAGAGATCAGAAACTAAGGAGAATGATGGACATCCCTGAGGTATTGTATAAGCACCTATATATATTATGTTCTGTGTATTCATTACTTTTGATTCTACTTCTCAGAACTTTGTCAGTAAAGTTTTCTTTCCGTCTTCAGTGATACAGAAACACAGAGAAGTTAACATTGTCTGATAAATCTGTGCTCTCAGGTCTTGAAATTACCTCCTGAGAAAGATTTTTTTCCTTTATTGTTCCAAGTCAGAGCTGTGAATTCTGTGGTTGTGCTGTGAGTTTCCCCTCTTTATGCTAGATAGTTGTTCTGCCTGTTCCTGGGAAGTTCTCTCAGTAAGAAGACTTTGTACAAAATCCTAGACTTTGACAAGTTGGAGGGCTGGGCAATCATCAGTTGTATGAAGTTTAACAAGGGAAAGTGCCGGATTCTGCACCTGGGATGGGGCAACCCTGGATGTTCATACAGACTGGGGAATAAGCTGCTGGAAAGCAGTGCCATAGAAAGGAACCTGGGAGTCCTGGTCAACAGCAAATTGAATATGAGTCAGCAGTGCCCTGGCAGCCCGGAGGACCAACCGTGTCCTGGGGGGCATCGGGCAAAGCATCGCCAACCAGTCGAGGGAGGGGATTGTCCCACTCTGCTCTGACCTGGTGTGGCTTCACCTTGAATATTGTGGCAGTTTTGGTCACAGCAATATAAGAAAGATATTAAGCTCTTAGAGAGTGTCCAAAGGAGGGCAACGAAATGGTGAAGGGCCTTGAGGGGAAGCCATGTGAGGAGCAGCTGAGGTCACTTGGTCTGTTCAGCCTGGAGAAGAGGAGACTGAGGGGAGATCTCATTGCAGTCACAACTTCCTCATGAGGAGAAGAGGAGGAGCAGGCACTGATCTCTTCTCTGTGGTGACGAGTGACCTGAATGACCTGAAGTTGTGTCAGGGGAGGTTTAGGTTGGATATTAGAAAAAGGTTCTTCACCCAGAGGGTGGTTGGGCAGTGGAACAGGCTCCCCAGGGAAGCGGTCACAGCACCAAGCCTGACAGAGTTCAAGAAGCATTTGGACAATACTCTCAGGCACATGATGCGATTCTTGGGTTGGTCCTGTGCAGGGCCAGGAGTTGGACTTCATGCTCCTTATGGGTCCTTTTCAACTCAGAATATTCTGTGATTCTATGAAAAGTTTCCTCAAAAACTAAATAAAACTTTGGACAAGCATTTATTTTTCTCCATCTGAGAGTAAGATAACGTCTTGTAAGTAAGTCTTCAGACAATTCTCTCATTTTTTTTCTTTTTCTTTCTTTTGCCTTTTTTTTACAAGACATAGGGTACAAACTATTTAGAACCATCCATCATTTGCAGATTCCTCTCAGGATAATTCCCAATTATTTTCAATTCTGTAGTCCAGCTTTTGTATTTATTGCTGTGACAAGATATGTTTAGTATATGCTGTGGGCCATCACCTGGTATCTAGCCAGATGAAGAGCCAGACTCCTCTATTAGTGGTTGTTACAAAGCTCGCAGATTCCTGCCCAGTGTTTTCATTTTTTTGCACATTAGAGCAGGCCTACATGCAGAATCTCCAGGGAAGAGGACTTTTTTTGCCTATGGACATTACGCTGAAGTGAAACACTTTATCAGTCATTAATCCATCCATGTACTTGTCCATGTATTTGAATGTGCTGCATTTTACAGTCACACATATACAAAGATAGATGTTTCTAATAATCTCAAATAATTTCAGGCAACTAACAGCAAGACAAGAGGGCATGGCCTTAAGCTGTGCCAGGGGAGATTTAGGTTAGATATTAGAGAGAATTTCTTTACAGAAAGGGTAATCAGACATTGGAATGGGCTGCTCAGGGAAGGGGTGGATTCTCCATCCCTGGAGGTTTTTAAGATAAGACTGGATGTGGCACTTAGTGCCATGGTCTAGCAACTGCAGCGGTAGTGGATCAAGGGTTGGACTTGATGATCTCGGAGGTCCCTTCCAACCCAGCTGATTCTATGAAAGGGCCCCGCAAAAAAATACATTGCAGAAATGAAGTAGGAAAAAACCTGGCTTTGCTTTTTGGAGGCAAGGAGGCTCCCCCGTGTGGTTAATGCACAAGGCTTTTTTGTATGATGTTGGCACATATCTCTTAAATTTCTTAAAGAACAGAAAACACAAATTCACAGACATAGCAGTATGAAAGGTGCTGATTGCAGTGGGATGGATTTTTTAAGTCAACTGAGTAAATATGCATACTGTAGAACATAAAAGATGCACCTCTAAAAAACAAAGATTATCATTTCATTCTGGGCTATTGCAAACCTGAACTATACCCTTCAGCTCACTCTAGTTAATACCACAGCATTTCTGCATGTCTGTCTAGGAATGGAGGCAAAAAATTGTGACTCCGAGTGTGTTTTATAAAGGCAAAATCTTAAGGTTATCTTAGCATAAACAGCTAAGGCTTAGTTCAAGGTAAACCCAAGTAAGTAAGAATGTTACGCCTTCATTTATAGTGTTAGTATAAACAGTAGATATTGATGTGTGATTACAAACCAGTGAATATGTAATTACAGAAAAATCTTCAAACCTGCACTTGGCTCAGGTAACACAACATACAGAAAGATTTTTGACATTTTGAGCTGTCTAAGTGGAGTATCTTGCAGCAATTTTTCCCACTGCAGACCTCGGGCAGATTCCTGAAAGTTACCTATGAGGAATGTCAGCAATGAAAGATATGCAAATAATGTTGATAAGGCATCTTAACACCACATAGAAACCAATGGGATGTTGTATCAACTTGTAGACTTGAAGTATGGAATACAGTCTTAGCTTTTCTAATTGTATAAAAATTGTCGGATACATGCTATGGATAAGTCTTCTCAGAGAGGAAATATAGTACCAGAAGCATAATTGAGAGAACTGGCGGTTTGATGTACTAAGTTCTTTCATCCAGTGTTAGTTGTAAAGGAAAAATTGTATACTTAAAATTAGAAACTAAGCATACTGGCCTATTTTCAGTGCAAACCTCAATTGTTAATAAATTCTTTGCATATTTAAGGTGCCACATTCCTGAATTTCATTGTAATTACACCAGAAAGCAAAACCAGCTGGAAGCACCTGTCCATTCTATTTGCTGGTTTTGTACTCACCCAGAGAATTATGTACACAGTGGTATATTCTGATAAATACATGATTTTAAAAACACGTGAATCTTTCCACACGACAGTTCTGTATCCCATCACGTCCACATAATGGATAGTGCCCTGATCCACTGCTCTGTGAGTCACCTCAATATCTCATTAGTTAATACTGTTGGATTTTTTTATTCTCTGTTTGTGTCTCCTGCTTCGTTCATCCCAGACAATGGAGAGAAGGAGATAAAAAGAAAGCTCTCAAAGAAACCACAGGAGGGATGAATGAGTTTATCAGACTTTGTCTTGGCACACTGGAGTTATAGTAAAGCATAAAGGTCTAAATAAAAATTGATAGTATACTTTTTGATCTGACCAAAGGACGAGCTTCCTGCTTTGAAAGATTTTATGTACAGAGGTTGATGGCAATACAGAGCTACCTCAACTCCTCAAATTACTTGTTCATAAGATTCAAGTGGAGTTTTTTTCAACAAAAATCAATATTGTATTGTCTGCAAACAATACACAGACTGAGCCTTCAGTAAGTTTGAAAATATGGAAGGTTGAAGTTTCAGGCTTCATGAAAGTAAAAAGGATTGTGAGAAATGGAAAAGGTTTGTGAAAGAAAGACAACTGTTTATACCTTAATGTAGCACAACCAGTGTGGAATAGGGATTGGTGAGGCTTCCTTACATCATTTGTTCCTGTGCAAAGTGGAGACATAGAAGGGTATAATCCCGAGAGAAAACTTCAAATAAGTTATTTCTAAGTGGGAAGAGGGTGCTATAAGGGAACTCTGGACTAACCATGATGATAAAGAATCTTGTGTTCCCTTTGAAATATGTAGTCTATATTTACTCTGTAATACATTTGTCTTTTATCTTGAGATAAGCAATAAGCTACAGCCATATCTGTGTTATAAGCCAAAGTCCTTTGCATGCAGCACATACAGACCTGACCTTCAGGCTCACTTTCATTCAGGTGTCTCAAACACAGACAACGCTGTGCCAGTGGTACTGCCTTTCATCTGCTTGATCCCAGTTGTTACTCTGTAAAGCCCTATAGGGATTTTCCAGCCCAGGATGGACATTTTGCTATGGCATGCTTTAACTGCTTACCAGTGACAGCTTTTCTGTAGCCATGTTATTTGGGACTTCAGGAGCTGTAATTGTACTTCAGGGTTGTAGAGCAAATGCTAGATGTTTTAGAAAATGGGAGCATTCTAGAGGACCTTGTATGGGAATTTTTTTAATTCCTAGTCCTGTAGTAAGATATCTGAAAAAATAAATACTCAGTAACTTTTTATGCTTTCTTTGGCTTTGTTTTCTTCAGATAAAGAAAGAAACAATTGACCTACTGGAGATGAGTATTATAAAGCTGTGCAGAGAGGGGTCTGTGAAGCTGGGACTTTTTTAATGAGTTTACCAACAAGGAAGTAATTTGCAGCTGCATTTTACTATTATCCTGTCTGCAATTGGCAAGTGATAAACAGGTGATGAAATCAAGAGTTTTGACTTTTCAGACATCTGTCAAGACAGCAAGAATGCACATTACAACTTTTTCTGAGTTTTCTTTTCGTAATAAAAGAGACGTTTTGTTTGTAGTTCTAGTGTGATTTTTATTGCAGGAACAATGTCATACTGAAATTAGAATTACATTATTGCTTTCACCTGCTAGATTTAGTACTATATGTCACTATTAAGACTTCAAAGATGAGAAAACCTGAGTGTGCAAGTCTTTGTACAGCTCAATTTTCTGTTCTCTTCTGCTTTCCCAAAGGAGACATGTATTTCTCTCATGAGAGTGGTAATCTAGTTCTTGCCCTCGAGGGTCCTTGCAAAAGTTGTACGAATTTCAGTAACAGGTCAAAAAGGTATTTTTCACCTACCTGTACCAGAGCTGGCCAAATGCTCTTTTTTTTTTTGCTTTTACATGATAAATTATCTGTATATTATATCAAGATTTTATTCTGGTTAAACTGTTGAAATGTGCCAAAAATATTCTTCTGTTTGTCCACTGAAATTAAAAGGAGATGAACTCTGGGTGTTTCTTCTGTCATTGTGGATAGTAGGGAATGGATGGATTCTTTTTCAGAGAACAAGGTGAATAGCGGTGATCAAATCATCAGTATCTTGGAAAGCCATTGATCCAAATCAGATATTTTGAAAATGAGTGATAAAGGACCCATAACCTTTTTACAACCTTTAATTGCATCTCAGCCAATAGCAATGAATGTAATAGGTTAAGAAAATTGATTTGGTCTTCAAAGCAATGTTTTCTGTCCAGTGCTGTCTCAGTTCCTGCAGTCCTCCCCAATGGAATCCAGTGCATTTGGAATAGAACTCCTTTCGTTGTATGCCTTGCCTGTTAGCTGAGCAGCTATGGAAGTGAAGGGAGAAGAAATAATGCATCTGACATTACACAGAAATTCCAGTATAGCTGACAGTATCCCTGCAAATGAGTAAGACATAACAAATCCTACATCATAACAAGAGCTGTGGGGCAGGAAAAATATATTTAAGCTTTTCCAGGAGGCATGAACTGGACACCCTGATCAAAGTACACAATCATATGATTGGTACAAGCTGATCATGGGGATCCAGGCACAATACAGAAAACAAGGAAGAGAGAAATGTAGTTAATAAGTAATTCCTGTCCATAATGCAGTTTGAACAAACAATACAGTCTCCCAACAATAAAGACAGTATCTCAGCTTAAACACTCTCCAGCACAAGTATATTATTCCTTCCTCTCACCAAGAAGAAAATGAAAAACAAGACAAATTTTCCTTCACAAGAAGAAGAAGCGCGTCCTTCCAGATGTCCAGATAACAGTGCATTCAAACAGCAGAGGCTGCCAGCTTGGAAGCCCCAGCTTAATATTGTGACTGTGCTCTCCAGCTTCTTCCTCACGGGCGCATTCTGCCTTACTGTGGGAGTCTGCCTTATACTGTCTGCAAACAGCGTCAGAGAAATCCAGGTTGGTTTGGGGGTGGTGTTCTTAGATATTCTGTAAGATAGAAACTGGGCTAGGTTTGGAGGGAAAAGGCTTTGAATTTTTGCTTCTGAATAAAGATGGTAGCAATGGCTTCGCGCCCTGGACATACGTCCAACAGCTAGTATTCCTGTGAAAATCTGCAGAGATTGTCAGTCATCAATAAAACCCAAGCACTGGGTGGTTAACTGGGTGGTAATGTCTGAAATATGGGTGATGATTACTGCTACTGGCTGGTAATCTCTGAAATGTTGCCATTATTTCCTGGGATTTGGAAGAGAAAGAAACAAATCCCTTTGATAGTGTTTGGTACTAGAAGAATATACGTTTCCCTGGGCAAAATCTTAAAATACAGGGAGTCCTAATGTTTAAATCCCTCCTGGAGGAAAGGTTTTTTAGACCTGTGGTGTTGTTAATAGACTCCTGGTTGGAGCCAACACTCAGCACTACATCCAGGCTGTTCAACAGGGGTGGGCCATGATGCACATGGAGATTTGTCAGGCATTACTTGATCAGCCAGAAGTGCAGAAGGTGCAGAAGTGTTCTTCACTCAGCACTCCTTTGCCGAGGAGCAGATGGGAAGGTTCTGCAACAGTCATCAGAAGGCTCTAAAACAGCTTTAAACTGGGGATAAATTTTGTGAATGTTCATTGAGGCCAAGTCCTCATTCTCTGCCTCTTCGTTTTTAACAATGTTTTTGGCAGTGTGGAGTCACTTAGAAGAAAACTGCTCTGAGAAGTCTTGGAGCTAAAACCTTTTCTTATGCGCATGTCCTTTATTATAATATCTCTACTTGTTCACTTCTGCCAGATAGATTATTCAGATAAATGCTCAGACTGTTCAAAATTCCGTGAAAATTCCTCCAACTGGAATAAGGAATGCCATTGTTCTGTTAATTTCACGCTGAAGGAAGATATATTGGTAAGTAGATGCAAGAAACAACTGAATTTGCTTAGTACCACCTGTTACTTATATCCCTGTATGATAAAATACACTAATTCTGTTCTGTAAAGCTATTGACTAAATTTTTTTGTACTTCTTCAAAGCATGAAATACTTAAAATTTCATGCTTTTGCCTTCATTAATCATTTTGGATTTGTTAAAAATAATCAAGACCAGACTACCTCTGTCCTTATTTGGGAGATGTCCAAGGAGAAGACGGGGATGAAGAAAATTATATTTGATTATGGAGGTGACGTCTCTCTGTATCTCCCTCTGAGTCAGTAGCAAACCCTTGCCCTTGGTCTGGGGTTACTTGTTACTGTGCTGCTAAGCTCTTGAGAAGGAAATCTGAAGCTCTGACCACTTTACATAAGTAAACCCCTGTAGTCTTTTTTACAAGGGTTATGCTGTTAATCCCCGAGGTCCTTGAAATAACTCAAGTCTAGCAATGTGATTCTGCAGTTTCATTTGGAAAAAGTATCCTTCATTTCCTGTCCTAAACTACCAGGTCACGTTGTTGAGACTGTTCAAATGCTTCATGTTCCACCAAAGAGATCTTATACTTAGTGTTGCATAAATGCTCCCTTAAAATTATAATGCAATTTAAATTATAAAGTCACTTTCGGATTCTTCAGTATTGAAGAGGCTGTTAAAATACTTTGTAATTCTTCAGATTACAGTGATGTTTGCCATGAGAAGTTAGTTTAACTGAAAAATGGGATTTTTTTATAGTTGAATAATTATCTTTCATGCTTGAGTTGCCTGCCTAGCATTCTCCATTTAATTTGAAGGTTTTTGTGCACCTTCTTTTGTGAAAATGAGTGTCTGTCTCTGTGAAGTTATTCATTGGCCAAGTTCATGGCCAGCCATGCCACCTTGAGTAAAATAATTATCAGGCATTTTTATTTTAGGTTTCGTTTGGTAATTTAAAGTATGTTTAATTTTGTGCCAAAATACTTAAACTTTCAGTTAGGGTAAAGACTAGATTCTAGCCTGTGTCTGCTGAATTGCTTAGAGTGTAGTTACCAACACTTAAATACAAATTGAGTACTCTCTTCCCCTCTCTTTTTTAGCAAGTAGTAGGATTTCTCATTGTGTTCATGAACTCACCTTATTGAAGGGATTTGTCTTTGCATTCTAGGGTGATGTTTTTATGTACTATGGTCTGCAAAACTTCTATCAAAACCATCGTCGATACATGATCTCCAGAAGTGATGCACAATTGTTGGGTCGAAATGTAAATGTAAGTTTTCTTTTTATGTTATGAGGTCACCAGCAGGTGCATCTTTTACCATATGGAGAGCTAACTAGGCATAACTGTTAAGTGTGTCTAGATGGCTCTAGGGAATGATAAAGTACAGATTTTTAGTGTTTGGTCTCTGCTTGTATGATTGCTACGGTCATTAGAGCTAATAAATTAATAAGGGAGGAAGATTGAAGGGATAAATAAAAGCTGTCAGTCCAGTGTTGCAGTTCTCAAACCTGCACCTTGTAGGAGTGCTACTCAAAAATACATTGTCTTTTTCAAATAAATTTACAGAAAGCTTCTCCTTCTCGTGTTTTCAGTCTTCTTAGCCAGAAATGTTTTAAGCTGTGCTTTTATTATAGGGTTAGTTATTCTAAGTCTTTCATTTTACCATCTGGCTTTGGAAGTGGACAAGGAGGAGGAAAAGGTTTATGATGAAATAAGTGTTTATGTAGCATTCTAAGTACACAATTTAGAGCTCTAAAGAGGGAGCTAGACAGCATTGCCTGCAGCAGACCTGCATAAGGAAATTGGAGAACACAATCATGGCATTCAGGTTTTTTTACTTACAAATCTAAACCATATTTTCTTTGGCTTAAAAGTAGCATTTCTTAATATACACACAATCCACATGCTGTCCTTTCAGTATATATGATGGTTGTGCCATAATAATCTGTTGTTTCTATAAAATGCTTCTTGTAATGTTCAAGACATGTTCCTCATACATTTGCTTCTCTAAGTGTCCTGTCAGCTTGTTTGTTTGCATCCATATGCAACTGCTTTTGGCTTTTGTGCCAATCAGATACACAGCTCATTGGAGTTACTTGAAAATGTTTCCATGTTTAAACCTGAAGATTTGTAGTTTCCCATGAACTAGGATAGGAGAGATGTGATAAATTCAAGGTGGACCTTTATTTTTCAGTTCATGCATCAAGATTTTTCCATGTTGAACTGCAGTAATGTGGCTAACTATGTCTAGTGTTCTCCAGCACTAAAGCAGTCCAGGTCAAAATTGAAAAGAAGGAAAAATAAAATGTTCTATGATAAGCCAAGGCTTCCCTGGAACATTTTCAGCTGTAGCCGTGTTACAATAGCAGATCCCCAAATCTGTTTTTGTAGTCTGGAGCTTGCAAGTCCACAACAGAACTTGATGAAGACCTTAAGTTTTACGTGCCATGATATGGAAAGTGTTCCTCAACTACAGACTCATTCATTCGGATGTTTCTCTAATGTGACCAGAAGGTACTGGAGGCTTAATTTTTCAATGGCTTTTCAGAAGAAGGAATGGGGCAGGACAGCAGCAAATTAAAACAAAACTCCAGGTCTGTGCCTGATTGTTCTGTGACCTTGAATGCAGATTCAGAGGAGCTACTGTGCACCCTTCACAACCTACAAAAATGGGACCCCCATAGCGCCGTGCGGGGCTATTGCCAACAGCATGTTCAATGGTATGTACCTACCTTCCACACCCACCTTAGTAATTTCCACTTGAAACTATTCCATTACCCCATGAGTGTTCCATTACCCCATACTTGAAATGATTCCATTACTAGTCCGATGTTGCAAGGTCTCTGTCTTTCTCCCACAAAAGGTGTTGTTTGGTGGAGACTGGTGAATATGGGGCTCCGCTTCCTACTGTTTAGTAACTTTCCCCTTGTTTTGAAACTGAGGGAGATTTTTCATTTTTTTAAGGCCCTCTTCAATGTGAATGTATAGCAGGACTGAGGAATTGAGTCCCTGTTGAAATAAGGAACAATGATACAACAGATTTAGTGTACTTCCTTTCTAAAAAGTACATTCTTTACAGTGATGGGAAAGCACAGATTGTGCCTTCCCACATGGTGTGCTTAGAAGGAGGTGACACGTTCTCCAAATTGGTTTGGACCTTTGGATCTATGTGTTTTCCTTTTTGGTCTTTGAAAACTGGAAGCGTACACAGTTTTAATTTGATCCCATGTATGATCTTCTTTTAAGTAACCTAGTGGGCATAACCTGCCTATGAGTTTAGGAGATTTCAGAATGTATTTATTTGGAAAGAAAGGAGACAAAAAACCTTTACAGACTTTTCTCCCCTACTCCATCTTTTTTGTCTGCCAATCTCTGCCCCCCTGCCCCAACATCCTTTTTTTTAACCTGTTGCACACAGCAGGTTTTGGCAGGGCAGCGGCTGTTTTCAGCCAGCTGAGCCACCCGCAGCAGAAGACTTGTGAAGGCCAGCTGCATTCAGTAACTTTTAGATCCATTTGATTTTCATCTACCTGTGCACCTTCCTGCTGCCCTGGAAGTCTGATTTACTGGACTGGGCTCAGACCTAGGCCAGCAGAGCTACCTGCGTGCAGCCCACACTGTTCTGGAGCCCCTGCTGAGGGTGATCCTCCCAGTGTCTGCCTTTGCATCTGTCCTTAGTGCATAGTGTGGTGAAAAGTTCCATCTGCTGGTGGTGCGGGGGAAGGAGTTGATGTCCGAATCCCCCCCTCTGGTAGCTCATTTCTGACCCTCTTCTGTGAGAGAAGATGCTTCCCTTTTGCTTTTGGCAGTTTGACTGGTTGTCTTGACTGCTCTCTGATCTTGTTTTATAAAATGGGGAAGATGGCCAAGTTCCTGCCACAGGAAAGGTTTTTAACCCGAAGTAGCATGCGAGGGAGCAGTCAAGGCAAGCATTTAAGCAGACAGAGCTCAAAGAATTGCAACTCCTGTTAATGAACTGGTGACAAACAGATGGGGAGGTGGTGGGACACGGAATGATCACTTCTTCAGTAGAGTGTGTCTGAGCTTTAAGGAGTGCGAACACAGGTTTTGTAGCAGGATAAAAAAAAGGTACGTTTTTGCTGATGTCATGCAGCTAAGTTGTGTTTTTCATGTCTCCTAAAAAGCAGCCCCTCCCCATCTCTATCATCCAGCTATCCCTGCTTCATCCCATTGGCACCCAGATGTTTACAGAGATGTTAATGAGACCTCTATTATTTTTACCTTTCGTTAAACTAATCTAAGTAGGAAAATGGATAAAACAAGTACTCTTCACCCACTGAAACAGGATGGCATGGTTAAGCACAATTTTAACTGAGTATTTTTTGATTGAAGAAAGTGTTCGTGTCCAAGTTGATAGACAAGCTCTAATTGTATTCCCTTGATAGTGCTTTCACCTCTCCCCTCTTCCCTGAAAACACGTTATATATAGCAAAGCAATCAGTTGAGGACAACTGCCGAAGGAATACTAAGAAAAGTATTGGAGTACTAGGAGAGTAACTTCTGTAGCTAGCCAGAGAGCTCTGAAAGTGATTTGCAAAGAAGTTAATCCCACAGGAGTTGATGGATACATGTGCCCATGTTCCTACAAGGCATTGTTTCTTCAATAGGGTTATTTGTAGGAGTACGTTCAGTGTAAAACTTCAGAAGTTATACAACTCTGGAACCCTAATTCTTCTCTTGTTCTGTACACAGTCGTGATGAAACCTTTCCCAGGACTTCTTTGGTTTTCTATTCACTTGAAAGGTGCTTCAGTGTGACATTTTTTTGTTAGTCATGCTGGTAATTAGAATGGCTGTCTTTTACTCAAAGGTATTGCTTTATTGTATTCCCTGCAGATACTATTGATCTTTTTTACAATCGTAACTCATCTGTGGTTCAGGTGCCACTGCTGAAGACTGGAAACAGTTGGTGGACAGATAAAAATGTGAAATTTCGCAATCCTGAGTCATACAATCTCTCTTCTGCATTTGCAGGTAAGAGTGGTTCCTTCCGCTGGTATTCCTTATTTTTCAGTGGCTTCCCTACCTCGCTGCTCATGTGTCTCTCATTCTGAGAAAAATCCCTTTTGGGAGAAATACCTCCCAAAGCAGGTTGCAGAAGCAGCTTTAGAGGGTGACTAAGAGCAGAAGACACATTTAGCCAAAATATCACCTTTTTATTTTTTAGTGACCACAGACATTGGAAGAAAATGGGTTTGGAAGACTGAAATTAACCCTTCTGTATCGTTACTTGTAATGCTTAATCTGACCAGGGAAAGCAAGGATGCAGTTGCTTTGGGGTTTTTTTCCTATTGGAAACATCTGTATAGGAGAGTTGCATGTCACATCTTTCCTTTGTGCCTTTGCAGATTCTTAGGCAGTTGTGAGACAACTGAGACTGCTTTCGTCACTAGTTCTTTCACACCTCTTTCCTAGGACTCTTTCCTTGTTATGGTTGATCTGTATTGAAGTGGGACTAATATCTCCCTATTGTGCATCAGGGCAGTGCTGTGCTGGATGAAAAATGCAAGAGTTAATTAACTAAGTTTCATGAGACAGATTCTAAATATCATAGGCCATGCCATTAGGCTACAAAAAGGTGCCTCTCTGGTTGTGCAGGAGTAAATTAATGTGTAAAAATGAAGGCAAGCTCCTCATCATTGCTTGTTGAAGAGGCAACAAGAATCCAGAATAAACAGTATTTTCATCTGTGCAAGTCACTTTGTTTTTCCTGAGCTTGAAGTTTCTAATGTGTGGCAACCTCTGAGTACTGTTAAACTGTTCATTCATGTTTGAGGTGAGTGGAGATGCTTGGGTGAAAACTGTTACCTAGCATATATAATTTCTGAATATTGAGCAGTGTCTCATGTCTCTTCCATATCTCATATTCTGTGTTGGTTTTGAGTAGGCCCAGAATTTAGCCAGCAACCACTGTTCTTACTGACAGTGTGTCTTACCTGCTTTGTTTCTTTTCCATCAGGGACAGCAAGACCTCCTTACTGGCAGAAGCCAGTGTATTTGTTAGACGAGGGAGATGAGAGGAACACCGGTTATGTCAATGATGACTTCATCATCTGGATGCGAGTGTCAGCCTTTGCCACGTTCAGAAATCTTTACCGCCGTGTCAGGCGGATCAGGCACTTTGCGGATGGCCTGCCAGCAGGGAATTACACGTTCCGGATTTCCTATAGTATCCTTTCATATTAGCTAAGACTGTGAGATAGTTACAGTGAGAGGGAAGCAGGTAGGACTTTTGTGGTAAACTGGCAAAGAAACTGCACAGAACGCCCCAAACTGACTCACCAAGAAAAATGAGACAGTCAGTGATGATGGACTCTCTTTAGCCCATGCAGAGGCTGTTAAGGCTTGTTACTCAAACAGCAACACGTGACTTTGGTTCTGACTTCTGAGGGGGCTACTTTCGGCTGGTGAGAGTACACAGGTGCATCACACAAGTAAAACTGAAGAATGGGAACCTGAAGGGATGATTGAAGATGCTGTTTTAGCTGAAAATAACAATGGCCTAATCAGATGGGTGGGCTCTGTTATGGGGGTGCACACTGTGCAGAGGTGTCCCTGCTGCTTAGAACAGCACGGGATGCCTGGGTCACCAGAGCTTTCTGATGGATTTGGGCCACGTGCTGACTAACAGGAGCTTTTGTGCTGGTGCAAATGCCCTCTCACACCCAACAGCAGGAACTTTGCTGACTAAAGCACTCCTTTTGTCAGCAGGAGTTATGTCAGGATGACTGTAAATTTCTCTCTCAGCTGATAGAACTATGGTTTTAAATATGGCACAGCCTATTCTGAAAGCTTCCATGAGAGAAATGAAAGATAAAATCATATAACATTCTGGGTATGACATATTAGGTAGAGGTGAGCACATATCCTCACTGAGACTGTGTGGAGTGTCATCATAAGCTGCCCCAAAGGCTCATTTTCAAGTTTTCAAAGCAAATTAATGCAGTAGCAGTTATATAAATTATGAATCTGAAATTTGCAATGTTTTTAAAAAGAAAGTCTTTCCAGGTACACACGAAGACTGTAACTAAAATAACTGGATTTCTTACCACCAGCTGCTACCGGGTTTTTGGATCCAGAATAGCAGAGACATCACAGATCAGTTAAAGGAGTTTTGGCAGCAAATGCAGACCTCCAGACTCTTTATGCCTTGGAAAAGTTTTTGAGCATTTAACCTTTCCTTTCTCTTCTCCTGAAAATAATATAAACTTTGTTAGTGAAATCTTAACACCCTTCTATCAGATTTCCCTGTTTCCAAATTCAAGGGAAGGAAGCACGTGATTCTCTCAACCGTGGTATGGAGTGGAGGAAGTAACCCATTCCTGGGAATTGCCTACGTGGTTTCTGGCACAGCAGCAACCCTGGCAGGTTTTGTCATAACTGCCATCCACCTGAAGCTCAGAAAAAAGAAAACATACTTTCAGAGGCAATAAGGTTCCCTGGCTTTCTGAACTAAAGCAAAGGTGTGCTGTGAACGAAGAATGTGCCGCACAGACCTTTCATTCTTTCCCCTGAGCTCTGGACCTGTTTCAGTATCAGGTTTGGTGAATGTAAGCAAACTGAGGAGCAGTGCTCTTCCATCATCTCAAACCAAACTTAGCTGAGGCAGGATTCTTACTAGTGTGTGTGTGTGCTCCTAAATTTGTTTCCTAGGAAACTTGTAGTGAGATGAGCTTCAAACAACAGATAACATAGTGGATTAGAATTGCAATGGCAAAGAAATATGGTACTAATGTGTGGCCAGGAGTAGGGGTCCATATTAGTTTCTTACTCAGCCCATAATTCAAAAAACATTTCTTATGACTTAAATGGAGCTTTGGATGGGTAAAAAGTGAGGACTTGATCCAACAAAATGCTTGAGCAGGTAGAATTTACTGCTAAAATCTGTTTGTGAGCCACATACATATGCTGAATGGCTTGGGCTTTATATACCTTTTTCAGCTATCCTGAAAAAGCAACCAATTTAGCGCAGCACATTCATTGATACTCAATTTATGATTGAATTGAGCTTGATATTCAATTGATGAGTGAATACAGGTCATTTATTAGGAGTTCAGAGTTTGTTTAGACCAAATTTATTGGTTTTATCTAGGTACTGAGAGCTGGAGGACATCAAAATACTGATTTACAATTTTTTTAATCATGGTGTAATAAAAAGCTTAAATTAAAAACTCCTTTAATTCTAAATATTTTAGCAGAAACATCTACCTGATATGACTACAAGGCCACAATTACACTCCTACCTACCCCACCCTTCCATGTGAAAGTTCACAGATCTTACATGTCATAGAATGGTGACTTATTGTCAGTAGAAAACAAAGAACCAGAAAACCTGTCAACTTAATTTTGAGAAAGTAAACACTGCAGCTCATGAATAGGCTTGTCATTTTTCATGTTTCATGTTCAAAATTTTACATATTTAGGAGTTAATTTCGAGTCTCTCACAAAATGAAGGAACAGCACTGAAGAATTTAGGTCAAGCACACTGTGGTACATCCAAATTTTTTAAAACAATTTTTCTGTTGCAAAAGCGCAAATGGAATAAAACACTTTGATAAGTATTATGTGTGACTTACCTCCCTTTATCCTAAGGAAACTTCACATTAGAACAAGAAAGAAATCACAGACTAGAGCAGGAGAAGGGAGTGTGGCATGGGGAAGGGGGGGGGGCTGTGCCACTGTCAAAGCACCCACGTCTGCTTTTCAAAGTGTCTCGGGCTGAGGAGCTTTGACAGATGGCCTCTGGTGAAGGTGTTTGCAGCCACAGAAGGTACTGTTGCCTTGAATCTCTACTTTGTAATTGAGCCATGAGCAGCAGAAGGGGCGCTGCTCGAGGTGACAGCCCAGCCTGGGAGCACAGTCTCACTCCATGATGGTTTATGCTGACCTGGGCAAAGGTCTGTGTTCCCATCTGCTTTTGCTAGTCAGGGCCACTCACCTCCTTCTGGAAACTGTAGAAAGACAATTCCTGTGTTTCAACCCTTGTGTCTGAATCTGTCAGTAGCTGTGGAGAACCCTACCCCTCACTGGGCTGGACAAGACAGAGCATGAAGCAGTACATTTAGCAATGCTTAAACTCATTAGTCTAAATCATTGTTAACAATGGGACAGGCTCCTAAACCTTTTAAGTCCTTTTGAAAATGTAATTCCATGCAGCTCTCTGGAAAGCCTTGATGGGAGTTCCTGCCAAAGCTGAACTTAGATTTTCTGGCTCCTAAAAGACTACAGGAGCTTCTCTATTTTTCTCTTTCTTTTTTCTGTTTTTATTTTTTTAAAATCCTCCAAGAAACTGACTTTCAGGAAATTATATGGGTGGTTAAGTCACCATGCAACATGAAGTATTTGGTAAAAATATTAGTAAAAGGAGACTGAAGAATGAGGTGTATATTTCAATGAGTCAGTGTCTACCAGCAAAAAAAAGTTACCTAGAAAATGCAGTCTACAGTCTAGCACATAGTGTTTGCCCATTATCTCCCAGAGGTTTGTGCAAGAACCTCTTCTCTCGAAACGTACATTGCCTTCAAACCGCTCCATAGGGAAAACCTGTCTTCAGACAAGTATTTCTGTTTTTCCAGAAGTTGTCTAAGTCTTCATTTATAAACCCAGTATCTCATTTTTCATCTTACCACAGCTTTAAACACACCTTACATCTTTCTTGTACCCTCAAGCTGCTGCTTGAGCTCCAGACACTTCTGTTAACTCTGAGAAGCTCTGCAGTGTCTGTCTTGTTCGGGATTGTGCTGTGCAGACCAGAGCAATGGGAATGGCAGTTTTGATTAATTACTCCCAATCTGCCTTGCTCAAAAGGCTGGGAAATATGTTTTAGCAACCTCCTTACAGTGCCTTTTGTGCCAGTGCTGCAGTTACGCTGTTGGTCTGCCCCTTGTGCCAGGGCTTGCACAAATGTGCCTTTTCAAGTAAGTTTTGTCGATGTGTTCCTCAGTGCCCACACTGGGAATACTCCCCTACCTATATGAAATGTTTATTGATTTGGTTTTTTTGATGCTGTTGCCTTATTCCCTCTAGTGCAGGGGCTGGAATAGAAGTGAGAGCCTTGGCTGGAGGACTGACCTAACATAACAGAAAGGTGGTAAAAGCCATCATTAACTGCTCCCTGTGGCACGTCTCAGGGGATTGTCCCCTTTGTTATGCTGCTAATACCAGCAGCAGGCACGATTCCAGGCAAATATCCGGTGTGATTTTGAGTTCATTTATTGTGGCTATTAGGAGATCATTAGGTCAGTTTGATCAGGGAAAGCAACACTGATATTTGGAGAGCAAGGTATGAAGGAACTGGAGATGTTGCACTTCTGCCGAGGTACAAATTGCTTACAAAATACCTGGAGTGTCATGACTGGTACTGTGTCTTTGGCACAGCACTGCTTTTGCCTTGCACATTTGATTTTGTGAATTAAGATTATGTGTCTTGTGTAAGGAGGGGGGAAAAAAAGTGCCTTGGTAAAACTTTTCAAAATGGAATTTTAATTATCTATCAAATATACTTCTCCCAATGGTAAGTGGGCTCTTTTCGCTGAGAGATTAACGCGGGTAGACTTGGCAACTCCGTGCAAAAATGTCCAAGTTTAGGATTGCTGAATGACATTAAGAACTGTACCTGAAAAGTGTAAGTCAACAGCACCACTGTGAGTGCTACCTCACTAAGCCATAAAAGCCTTTTTGTCATTATTTGTAATATCTTCGCATATCAAAATTATTAAATTGTTTGGTTCCTTTGCTACTGCTACTTAAAGCCTTATCTGGTATCATTGCTGTATATTCAGTCCCTTTGAGCTAATGAAACTTAGCTATTTACTTCACTCTTAACAAAAGATGCATGTCAGAAATGGGGTTTAAGTTTGGTGGACTGAAATTAATAATATTATAGGTGCTGAAAGTACTAGATAGTGCATTTTTTTTTCTTTTCCCCATCTTTTTTTCTAGAACAGTTATATAAAGGAGGACATTTTTTATTCAGGTTTTTTTCTTTTGGGAAGTGGATATTTAGTAAATGGAAAACTGGAGAAAGGATTCCTCTTAGCAGATGTAATCTAAATTTATATGATTTAAAATAGGTGAGCTAAATGGGATGTAAGTTTCTGGTATTTGTTTATGATTTTGAAGATGACAGTTACACATGTGAGCGTCTCATCTTCTGGAGTTCTGGAGTTCAGTTTTTAAAAGTGGCAAAAATATTGGGAGGTGACAAGATCCCATTATTATAAAAAACTTACATACAATTTAAATCTCATTTCTAAATTACAGTGAGGTATAGGAGAGAGCTGCATTTTAATGTCGAAAACTATTTTAGTAGTTTTGGTTGCCAACTCCTTTTAGGATTAAATTTCACTGATGGATATAACTCTGTATCCATAGAGAGAGACATAAAAGTGAATCAGGTGCTAACAGGACTTTTCAGTAGCACTTCAGTTAGAGAATTTTTCCAAGTCTTTTTCAGGCGTTACAGTCTCATGCATATTTATCCAGTATTTGTCTGCCATGATTGGTTTTTCCGTTTCTAATCATAGACATTTGCTTAACTCATCTCATCTAGAAATAAAGGGATGAGTCTTTCATGTGAAACAGATTAGCATGATCACAGGGCTATAGAATCTGGAAATGTTAGTTACATGCTGCCTCTATTTTATATTAACAGCTGTGTTGCATGGCGATTTTTGGTATTAGTGTTTGGGTGGTGTATCTTAGAGATGCGTCGCCATGTAAAAGTTTTCTCTCCTTCCTCTGGGAAATGTAACTAATACAGGAGTAAAGTCAAAGTTCAGGGAAGGGGGGAGGGCTTTGTAAGTTTTGATAATATTAAGAGAGGTTGCATACAAATCTGGATTTGAGTTTAGATATGAAATAGGAGAAAGCATTTGCTTGTCACATGATAGAAAAGTGCTGTCCTCCTCGGCTGGGAGCAGGAGGGCATGAGGCAGAGCTGATTTGAGGAAAAACTGTAACCACACAAGGAGGGGATTGGTGGAAGCGGGAAAAAGTACTTCATCTGTGCTTGGGTATGGAGGCAAATAAATTTAGCTGAGATGCTTAAGATGATGATGTATCCTGACATGTGATCTGGAAAGCTCATATGATTTTGAGGAGCAGCCAAGGTAAGTAAAAAAGTTTCTCTGTTTACAGTGTGCTCTGAACTACAGTGCATAGTCTTTTAGCTAAGTGTTTTGACTGGGTTCTCTGTAATTGCATTATTCCCTACAATTCCAAGAACACTTTTGTTATGGGCTGAGAGTGCCTTGGGCAGTTGCCTTTCCTTTGGTGGCCTCTTGTTTCCAAAAGAGGGATTGTGTAGCAGTTTTTGTTTGCTCTGGGTCCTTCTTTTTCCTCAGGTTATGGGAAGCCAGACAGAGGAAGAATGGGGCTTGTTTTGCTTTTGCTCACATCCATGAGTGCATGAAAAATGTTTTCTCCCTTTCCCCATGTAGCTGCCTAGGAGAGGAAGAGGGCAGTAGGGCTGATTCTGGTGCAGTGCAAGTGGAGCCAATATCTAGATGACATCAAATGGTAATTGCCATAGGTAAAGATATCAAAATAGCTCATACCCCAGAAAGCTTGTATTTCAGAGAGCTCTAACCAAAAGATCTGTGCATCTACTGAGTATGTACTGTGTACTCTGCGGACAGACGTACAGCATGAAAGAAGATGAGAAAAAGGCCATTTGGTTGCACTCCTGCTCAATTTCAGCCATTGTCACTTCACATTGAAGTGCCCAAATTGATCCCTTTCAAACTGAAACAATTAAAAAAGCTTGTGAAAAAACTGACGTTTTCTACTGTGTCAAACCCAGCTACCTAAAGTTATTTGCCTTTTTCCCCATGACAGTTCCTGTCTGCAATGAGAAACCGTTCCATTAACAGCTCTGTTAACCCAGTTATAATAGTGGAGGATTCAGGGTTTAAGATTAGGTTAAAAGTTCTTGAGATTTCTCAGGTAACTTATATGAATCCCTGGGCTTTCTCAGGACTGTATTATTAATGACAATGAACCTGGAAACACTGGATAAAGAAATGTGTCCAGAAAAACTATAATGGTTAAATGAAAAAAGGAAGAAAGTAGTATCTGCCCATAGCCCCAGTGGTCATAAGGAGTTAATATGTGGGGAGAGTGTGCAGAACCCCTGTCCTGCCTCTGAGGTAAAACGTGGCACTTATTTGGCAGTGCAGAGAGAGGCTTCACAGCAGCTCAGGACAATAATGACATCTGCAGTTAATAACACTCCTCCCCGCAGTGGGTGTGCCGAGGAATCTGCCATGCTGGCAGAGGACGACAGGGCCGTGTCCCCAGCGCTGGGCGGAAGGAGCGGCTTTACGCTGGACCGGGGACACGAACTGGTGCCGCTTCATCCTGGTGGGTGGCAGGGAGTGCTCCCAAGCTGTGCCATTCGATGACAGCTGCAGCTTGGGGTGCCTTTTGCTGGCCTGCATGGTGCCATCCAAATGTGGGGCACCCAGAAATTGAAATTAAAATCACTAAAACTAATAAAAGAATAATCAGTGAGTCATCATCCACACCTTACACCAGTGCTTGTAGTCAAATTTCCATGTTT